TCCATGTGAGGGCTGCCCATGTGAGGGCTGTCCATGTGAGGGCTATCCATGTGAGGGCTACCCATGTGAGGGCTGTCCATGTGAGGACTGTCCATGTGAGGGCTGTCCATATGAGGGCTGCCATGTGAGGACTGTCCATGTGAGGGCTGTCCATGTGAGGGCTATCCATGTGAGGGCTACCCATGTGTGGACTGTCCATGTGAGGGCTGCCCATGTGAGGACTGTCCATGTGAGGGCTGTCCATGTGAGGGCCATCCATGTGAGGGCTGCCCATGTGAGGGCTGCCCATGTGTGTAATGTCCACGTGAGGGCTGCCATGTGAGGACTGTCCATGTGAGGGCTGCCCATGTGTGTAATGTCTATGTGAGGGCTGCCCATGTCTGGGCTGCCATGTGAGGGCTGTCCATGTGAGGGCTATCCATGTGAGGGTGTCCATGTGAGGGCTGTCCATGTGAGGACTGTCCATGTGAGGGCTATCCACGTGAGGGTGTCCATGTGAGGGCTACCCATGTGTGGACTGTCCATGTGAGGGCTGCCCATGTGTGGACTGTCCATATGAGGGCTGCCCATGTCTGGGCTGCCATGTGAGGACTGTCCATGTGAGGGCTATCCATGTGAGGTCTGTCCATGTGAGGACTGTCCATGTGAGGGCTGTCCATGTGAGGGCTACCCATGCGAGGGCTACAATGTGAGGACTGTCCATGTGAGGACTGTCCATATGAGGGCTGCCATGTGAGGACTATCCACATGAAGACTGTCCATATCTGGGCTGCCATGTGAGGGCTGTCCACATGAGGACTGTCCATGTGAGGGCTGTCCATATGAGGGCTGTCCATATGAGGGCTGTCGATGTGAGGGCTATCCACGTGAAGACTGTCCATGTCTGGGCTGCCATGTGAGGGCTGTCCACGTGAGGACTGTCCATGTGAGGGCTACCCATCCTAGGGCTACAATGTGAGGACTGTCCATGTGAGGGCTGTCCAAGTGACAACTGTCCATGTCTGGGCTGCCACGTGAGGACTGTCCATGTGAGGGCTACCCATGCGAGGGCTACAATGTGAGGACTGTCCATGTGAGGATTGTCCATGTGAGGGCTGTTGATGTGAGAACTGTCCATGTGAGGGCTGTCCATGTGAGGACTGTCCATGTGAGGGCTGTCGATGTGAGAACTGTCCATGTGAGGGCTGTCCACATGAGGACTGTTCAGTGAGGGCTACCCATGCGAGGGCTACAATGTGAGGACTGTCCATATGAGGGCTGCCCACATGAAGACTGTCCATGTCTGGGATGCCATGTGAGGGCTGTCCACGTGAGGACTGTCCATGGGAGGGCTACCCATGCGAGGGCTACAATGTGAGGACTGTCCATGTGAGGGCTGTCCATGTGAGGGCTGCCCACATGAAGACTGTCCATGTCTGGGATGCCATGTGAGGGCTGTCCACGTGAGGACTGTCCATGTGAGGGCTGTCCATGTGAGGGCTACCCATGCGAGGGCTACAATGTGAGGACTTCCATGTGAGGGCTGCCCATGTGAGGGCTATCCGTATGAGGACTGCATATGTGAGGGCTACCCATGCGAGGGCTACAATGTGAGGACTGTCCATGTGAGGGCTGCCCATGTGAGGGCTATCCACATGAGGACTGCCTATGTGAGGGCTACCCATGCAAGGTCTACAATGTGAGGACTGTCCATGTAAGGGCTGCCCATGTGAGGGCTATCCGCATGAGGACTGCCTATGTGAGGGCTATCCGCATGAGGACTGTCCATGTGAGGGCTACAATGTGAGGAGTGTCCATGTGAGGACTGCCCATTGATGACTACCATGACAGGGCTGCCAACCTGGCTTCTGCAGCTGTTCACAGCCATCCCCCACCTGTCCCTACGGGCTGTCCATGGCTATCTATCTACTGTCTCCATCCTCCCAGTTTGTCCTCCTCTGCTTCCCTCAGGTTGTTTAGGTGCTAAGGGCCAACCCTGGTCTCCTTCTCTCAGGGGTGGGTGGCTCCTCCATGTCCTGCCCACCTCACCCTACATGAATGCCCCAGCTGGAGCCAATTGTGTGTTGGGCCTGGTATTCAACTGAGTCCCAGCCACCACACCCTGCCTAGTCTTGACCCGGCACTCCTCCCTCTTCAGCTTGTTGGGCGCAGAGCCATCCTCTCCACCTGGCTCAGGGACATCCCCAGGTTGGTCCTCTTCTGTTTGGGGCTGACCTCTAGGCTTCAGCCCAAACATCTGTCGGCCTATACACTGCGGCCTGTCCACTTCTCACCACCAGGCTGTCCCACCCCCAGCCTCTCACAAGAGTCACTGAATACCTGGGAGCCCTGGTGGAGATTAACAGGCAGGGTGCCAGTGGATGCCACCAGGAGATAGTCTGCTGTCAAAGTCCATGGGCAGCTCAGCCCTCACCTGCCTCTCCCCTTATCCCCAGGCTCAACCACCAGCCCCTCACCCCAGCCATGCAGCCCCGCCATTCACACTTGTGCAGGAAATGGCCACCCCTATAAGTCCTGTCTTCCTCAGGGACAGACCCTTCCAGGGGCCTTTGCTGAAAGCCTTACCGTGAACAGTACAGCTGCAGAGCTGGAATACAAGGGTTCTTGTTGGGAACTTCCCAGTAATTCAGAAGCATATTTTAAAAAGGCAAAGTGCCTCCCACCTTCACCCCTGAAATGGCCCACCATGATCTACTGGGTGTGGTGGAAGGGGATGCTCCCAGGATACCGAGGCTGTCTTTGATGAAAGACAGGGAAACCTGCCTATGAAGGCACAGGGGCATGTCTGGCCTTGGGGCCAGCCTGCCTGGCCTTCTGGGTGAGGTCCATCCACCCCCATGCCCAGGACATCAGTGACATGTCATTGGAAGTTTGGGTACCCCGAGAGTCTCAGGCCTGGTGCTCCCAGCTGCGGCTCATCACCACATGCCTGGAGGAGGGACCGTGTCCTGCCACCACCACACCTGAGGCCAGGTGATATAATGCCCTTTTGGAAGGTGGGCTCTTTCTTAGGCTGATCTGAAGATGGCCCCATGCTGCCCTCTCAGACCCACTGTGGATGTGTTTCTGGACCATCATTCCTTCTCACACCCTGCTATGATAGCCAAGCCGCTCACTCACCATCTTCATGACGGACTGGAGCTCATCCGATTCACTGGGGTCTGAGGCAGGAAGGATCCTGAACCATGTGCCCAAGCCCCCGACATTGGTCAGTGTGATGATCCGGGATGCAGTCTCCCCCACCACGTAACTGCCAAAATCAACGAGCTCCTTGTCCAGGGATACCTGCCGGAGTAGGCAGAGCATCCAGAGTGAGTGCAACGCCCAGTGTGGGGCACAGATCCTGCAGCCCCAAGTACACCCAGAGAGTGCTGCCCCGTCTGGCCCCTCCTGAAGGCCTGCATCTGGTTCAGGGCAGGACAGGTGGCCACAGTGTCAGTGTAGGTTGTGCTCTGTGCACTCTGTGCACCCAGGCACAAGGAACAGCCTAGAAATCAGAGGCTCCTACAATGATCATGACAGTCTAGGGCACGTGAGTCTCATCTTGAGTGCATCAGGCTGGCAGCTGTCTAGTCGGGGAGTTGTGAGGCCTGGCAAGGATGGCACACAGGGCTGGGAGGCTGGAGATCCCAGGACGGCCTCCCAACAGGATTAGCTGTGCCACAGATTCAGAGCCCTGGGGGATTACTTCCAGAAGAGCAGCAGGTCCTTCATGCCCCTGCTCCAGAGCCATGGCTGGGCCATCAAGGCAAATGGATCAGGTTCTTGGAGAGCAGCCTGGGATCTGAGGGAGGCCCCTTGTGCCTGCCCCTCTCACCCTTCTCTGGATTGTAGCACTACACGGCCCTGGCTCTCCCCCAGGTGTCCTCAGCCCAGACCACCTGAGAGGTAAGGCTCAGGCCTAGGTGAGGTGGCCAGTCTCTGCTGCCTGGGCCATGGCCTCACTAATGGCATAACAGCCAGTGCAGGAGAGGTGGGGGCAGTATGGCTGAGGATACCTGGGGATGAGCGCTGGCTATTTGGATAGAGGACACTGATGTGGGGTGAGAGGCCTGCAGGCTGGCAGGGCTCCTGCTGTGGTCTCCAGGCCTGCCAGCTGGCTGGCCACTGGTGTGGGTCCCTGGTACCTGCTGGCTCCCCTGGCTGAGTCCTGGTCTCACCATGTGGTGCTCTTTCTGTAGGCTGTTCCATGGGCAGTGTGCTCCTCTCCATGGGCCTCTTAGAGAGGGAATGTCCATGGGTGAGGGACAGCTTGAGAGCCCTGGAATGGGGCTGGTCCTGAGGCTCTACATGGGTCTCATGGGCCACATGAGCTCCAGAATGAATGCAGACAACTCAAACCAAAGGGGGACCAAACACACCAAATAGGATATATCTGTGAGTCCACAACAGAGAGTCCTCTACACTGAAAAGCAGCGCAGAAACTAACAGGGGGGCGACGCTTGTGGCTCAAAGGAGTAGGGTGCCAGCCCCATATATTGGAGGTGGCAGGTTCAAACTCAGCCCTGGCCAAAAACTGCAAAAAAAAAAAAAAAAAAAG